TGCTGTTCCGATGCACTCCCCCAGTGCTTTGCCTCAGTGTGGCAGGATCAGATCGGGTGCAATTCCCACACTGTGTCTCTGGTGCCATGGGTCAGTGAGGGGCATCATGTCTCATATGGGGCTGGTCATGTCCTCTCTGTGGACTGGCTGCTCTAATTGGGGTCATCGTCCTAAAGGCCTGGTGGGCCAGGATGTGCTCCAGTCTCTCCTCCTCCCCTGTCATCTGTAGCAGCATTTTCCATAACCCACTGAGGGTCCAAATGGTAACGGGCTCAGCAGCAGCTGGTTCGGAGGGTACCGTGGTTCCCAGCCCACCTCATCCGTATGCTATGGACTCACAGGTCTCATAGATGACAACGAAAGCCCGGAAGCCGCTGCCCTGCGGGAGCTGGAGGAAGAAACCGGTTATAAAGGTGACTTTGCGGAATGTTCTCCAGGTTTGTATTGCTTCTCACTTGTGCTCTTGGGAACAAATTCTTGAAAATTAATGCAATAGATTCTCCTAGGTACAGAAGGATTGATGATCGTGCCCTTTGTTATGGTCAGAACTCCCATGACTTTTTTTTTTTTTTGAGCCAATTCACGGAGGAGAAAGAATAGGTTCAGATTGGTCACATCTCTAAGTGAACGTCCTTCTGAGAAAATGTTTGAGCAAAAATGGCCTTAAGTTGAAGAACCATTGAAATTAAACTGCCTTCCAGAGTTGACTACATTCTGAACTCTATTATTTACTAGCCTGTCTTCCACATGCCAAATGCATCACTGGAAGATGTGATTTTGTTGGGTTTGTTTTTCTTCTTCTGGTGGTGGAAACATTAGACCACTGGTCAGTGCCACGTAACCCCTCAGTTTCCAAACTTTGCTCCACAACGTTGTGTAGCTCTCAGTCCACGATGTCTGTGACGACAGTGTGAGACACTGCCACCACAGCCCTTTGCTGGGAACAGGAAAGGACCTCTGAACTTGGAAGTGAGACAATGATGGAAGCCATGGAAACACCCGGCAGGCTCTGGTAAGGCTGGCTGTTGCTTCTCCCCACAGCGGTGTGTCTGGATCCAGGTTTGTCCAACTGTACTGTGCACATCGTGACGGTAACCATTAACGGAGACGATGCCGAAAACGTAAGACCTAAACCGAAGCCTGGTAAGTGTGGGGGGCTGCATTTAAGGTGGTTAAACTGCATTCAGGAAAAAAAGCAAACAAAACTGCATTCAGTATGTTTTTAACTTGCTCCTATTTTTTTTTTAATTTGCTAAAAGATTAGTAGCCTTTCATAGATGGTTCATCAATACTCTTGGCTATTAATCTTGTGCATGTTAGTTTGTTTTTTTTTACTAGCCCATTGATAGCTATACTTTCTGTTAAATTAGTTCTTTATTGTATGTATGGAGTTTATTCCCGTTTACTATTAGAAGCTATAAAGGCCTGCTCAGGCTGGGTGTGAAATTTTACAATTAACCTGATTTCTGTCTTCATGTGTTTCAAGAATGGCATAAATAATGTCTTGTGATGGGGTAGCAGTGTAATTGTTCTTTATTGAATTCAGTATTTAGAGAAGCTGTTAGGAAATTCTTTGTTCTGTATTCCTTAATAGGTAGTCAAATCATCAGGTGCTTTGTCAATCCCTTGTCTCCTAGTGTTTTTTAAAAGGGGTTTTATGTACGTACCACAGGAAATCATGTAGGAGAGTGGTCTTCTTTAATTTCTCTAAGGAGAAATCCCTCAAAGGAGCCCTGGAGGCATAAATGTACACAGGTCAGCAGTTCAAGACCACCAGCCATGCAGAGGGAGGAGGAGAGACGAGAGTTTCTGCCCTGCAAAGACAGTTGCAGAAACTCTCAGGGGCAGGGCCACCTTGTCCTCAGGGCCGCTATGCGTCGGCAGTGACTTGACAGCAGCGAGTTGGGTTCAGTTGCTCAGGGGAGGAAGCTACGATTGACAGACTCTAAAGCCAAAGGGGTGGTTGTACTCCAACCTGTAGGGTCCCTGTGAATCAGGATGGGTTTTGTTGTCAGTTTTCTTTGTTTAGAGGATCCCTGGTGGTGGCATTATTAAGCACTGGACTGCTAACCACAAGGTTAGTGGTTCAAACTTCGCAGGAGAAGTCGGGTATCTCCTCTGGTAAAGAGTTACAGCCTTGGGCCACGAGTTAGGATCAACTTGATGGCAGTGGTGGGTTTGAGTTGGTTGTCCATATCTATAGCTCACCATCGCATTGCAGCTCATTTTAATTACAGTTTTCAGTTAGCAAATATGCATATTGCAGAATACACTTTTAAGTTTTACTCTTAAATATTTAATTTGGAGAATTACAAGAACGTTGTACTATGAATTTATTATTACATCTATGAATTGTTGGAGATCTGAGTTTCTGTTCAAAGTTTTACAAATTTTGGGTGTATTTTGTAGTGTCTTAACATTTCTAGGCCTTGCTAAATTTTTCTCTTTCTGTTTATTTTCAGGGGATGGAGGTATGCTGTCCAGCTCCCGGTGGCTGGCCACATGAATGGCTTAATGTAGTGACAGCGACAGGCGGGGTTGTCGCGGTAGGGCCCTCCTGTTCTTTGACTCCATTTTCACTTGCGTTTTGTTGGTTTAGAATTTATAGAAGTGATTTCCTTACCAAAGAATGACCTGCTGAAGAGACTTGATGGTAAGCATTCTTTTTTT